TCAAGGTAACATTTGTAAGAGAATTTGATATTGCCGCTATTGTTTCACTAGCTATTTGTATAAAGATTTCATTGAGAAAAATATCCGTTATGTATATCAAGTGTTAAGGTTTTAAAAAGAAAAACGATTTAAACTAAACTATTCATACAAACTCAATATTTGCTTCTTGGATTGTCTTTAAATACTCTCGAAAACTTAATTTCCGAATTAATAAACTCATTCTCCTTCATTCACTAAGCCGTATGCAAATCAACCTAATGAATTCATCTCTCTCAAAATCCACAAACTAGGAAAAAGCTATAGTAGACACTCGATACTACTTCTCCTCCATTAACGTTGTGTTAGATGACATGAATGTAACGGTAGTTGTGATCTTAGATCAATATCGTAAGTTTCTGATAATCTACGTCTTTTTAGTCCAAAAAATTATGATAAATGTGAATACACTTAGATTAATTATGTTTTACAATGTTCGAGTTGATGAAAGTAAGGTTTATTCATTATCTCTTCAAATACTTTTGTCATTCGTGTGTATTGTATAATATAGGAATCTATAATTGCTTAGTAAATCGACTTTTACCAGACTTATTGTCGTTAACAAGAAAGAAACCATTAAAAATACATTAGAAATAATATACTTACTCTAGAGAAACAGTGAGGGTTAGTGAGTTGTTTTCATTCATGAGATTTCATACATTCATGTTTATATATTTTTTTTCTCACTGGCGACTGTTTCTATCACCATAACAGTAATCAAGTCAATTTATTTTAACTTATGCAATAGTATGAATAATATTTCTTCAATTCGATTTAATTTTTGGACCAATATTCTAAATTGCTGAATCGTCCCATTCGATTATTATCTCAAGGTTACAGAGACAGCATAAAAATTCGTTTTTCTTTTTAAAACCTTAACACTTGATATACATAACGGATATTTTTCTCAATGAAATCTTTATACAAATAGCTAGTGAAACAATAGCGGCAATATCAAATTCTCTTACAAATGTTACCTTGATTCACTTTTCTTTTTATTCACAAAAAAATATATAAATTGACAGCGACATTAGGCGAATAAACGTTGCGTATGCACTAAGAGTCTTATGCATATTCAAATATTGTTGATACACTTTTTTGTTCTATAGAGGCAGAGAAAGAGATGTGGCAGAATTATTAATAACCGTATAAGAAGGTTTTGGTTGTTGTTCAAAATAATTTCAAATTTAACATATAACAGCCACAGACAAATACAGGAGAAATATCGTATGAATTGTAGTTTCATTTTTCTTGCTAGAACGTTATGTTATCATCTGATGGACCACAGCAATCAATGGATGATAATAAATCGTATTTGAATAATGATCAAACATCACCTCTGATAGAGAATACGACAAATAATCAAACAATAGATATAACAAAAACAAACCAAGAATCTGAGATATTACCAAATGACTCATTATTAAATAATCTCACATTCAATCCCGCTTTTTTGAATATGCGTCGATGTCGTTCGGAAGCGGAAAAAAATGATGGTGACACAATTGTTGTTATTAATGACGGAAATAATCGTCAAGATTATTTACCACGTTATCGTTCGAAAATTTGTCGACGCCAATATTTAATTGGTGCTTATTATGACGGTTATCGAAACGGTAATCGTGTACCAGGGTTGCCTGTTTCTTGGCTTTTGAGTCAACGTCGTCATCAACCAATGAATTCAGATGCATATAATCGAATAGACTGGTTAAATTTGTCTTCAACAACAAAAACAGCAGCAAGCGAAAAAAAACCGTTTAAAAATGTATCATATCATGATGAACTAAAACCAATGATTACACAATCTGAAGACGAAAACAAACCGCTAACAAAAAAGAAAGTATTAGATGAAAACCTTGTTAATGATTTGAGGCGTTTATTGACCTTTGGCAACAAAGATATTTCTTCATTTAACAGAAGAATATCATATTCAGAACACGAAACAACAGATGATGATCAACAACATCAAGAATAGTACGTAAGACATGATATCTTCATTTCTTCTAATTTTGACTGCTTTCTTTTTGAAGTCCATGGCATGTAAAACCAGCACGCTCTATTTTAAAAAGTTCGCGAAAACCACCATCTCCAACGAAACTCACATCATTACCTGTTAAATATGAGCGTAATTATCACAGAGAAAATACCATTTATCATTATACAACAGTCGAAAAAAGTATCTACGAAAAACGTATCATCGAATCGACAAATGATGATGAAAACTCACATTTTCACTATAATGCAGCTTATCTTCCACAAATTCGGCATGATTCCGGTTACTCGAGTCAATATGAACGATCTCACTTACAAAAATTAAAACCCGAGATTATCTACAACCATAATGAATATTTACCAACGGCTGATTTTGATCGTTTTGCCGATTTTACACCTAATACAACAACATCATCAAATGTCGATAGTGATTTTCTTGAGCCAATTGTTACTGATCTACACCTATTAAAAAATCTTTCACCAATCGCCCCTCCATCCTTTGTATACGATGCTGAGCCATCTCCATTAATTATTGTATGTCCAAAACCGATACTGAACGAACAGTTAATCATACGAGATAATAATAATACAAATGTTCATCCATTATTAGAAAATGAATTTGATTTACGTTTACCACTTCCTCCACCGCCACCTGTACCCGATCGATCATTGAAGCCTCCGCACCTTAGACCGAAACCTGCCCGTTTAGTCGAAATACCCACACGTAAACATCGAACAAGACAAACGTCATCCGATGAAGTATCCACATCATCCATCACGTCATCTCTGTTAACAAATAATGTGACTTCGTCTATTGACGACAATAGTTTACAGCCAGTAACACCACAACAAAATAAAAATCAATTCGAACGATACGATTCACCTCGAAAATTACCTACAACGACGGGAAACGAATCTATCCCACGTGTGACTATTCCAGATTCGCCTGACTCCGATACTACTAAACGTTTAGTTTCGCATATACCAATAATTCCAAAACCTCGTCAAAGCCTGTTAAATAAACAAAAAACAAGTCCACCAGATGATACTAATGCGTCCTCTACATCAATGCACGGTAATTCTGAACGAATGCAAATTAATAGTGGTTTAAGTGACCCAATCGGTCCTCTAGACAATACACCGCCACTCAGTAGTTTTGATATGGATCCAAATAGAGACAGTTCAACATCATTAAAGAAAACCAATGTATTAGCAACGATCAGCAATTTATCCACACAACAAACCACACCAGTTATTAGTCCACGATTACATAGTAGTCGATATTATTGTGGTGGACTAACAGAGGAGAAAGATAATAAATCAGTAAAATCTCCAAAGAGAAAAATATCCACAGAAGATGATAACGAACTGAAACCAAGAATAATTATGTACCAAGAAGAACCCTTTCATTCATCACAACAAACGCGACTCTCGTCTGAAAATGGACGTAAGAAAAATGCGTTTGGTTGTCTATCAAATGTGAGCTCATCATCATTTGAAAATTTAAATCAATCGAAAAAACGCTCAATTAATAATCAGCACCAGCAACAACCATTTGATGAAGTTACAAACGGATTACCAGTTCGTTTTTCGAATAATCAAACTACGACAGTAGAAAATAAGAAACAATTTGCACGTAATACAAAATCTAATAATCAACAGTCAGATGCAAGTGAATTATCATCTGAAAAACAAAATTCGATAGATGGTAAGCATAAAAAGTCAAAGAGAAACTCTTTGATACTGCTGATTTCTGTATCTAATAGGGATTCCAAAAATACATCCTCAAACACCAAATTCTAACAATCTAAAGTACGTTTTTTGATAAAAGTTCATCAAGAAATTGTTTACATAATCTGTCATATTCTTTATACTTTAGATCTCAACTTACCAGAAATCAAATTTCGAAAAGATCTTCCGATAAAGTAAGTACCGTGATCGTCTCGGATGAACGAATATGAGATGAATTACTATAGCAAATAAATTTGATATCATTTTACGATTTATTCGTTTATTGATTTAAGGACGATTCCAAGCGATCATCTTATTATGAAACATCCGTTTAATTTTTAGGCAGTTTTATATTTTTGTATTGTTACTTTATTTATATTAATCATAGGTGCTATACTCTATCAATTTTTTGTTTTAGTATAGATTTCTAATTCTCTGTGTTTGTGTCTTCCAGTGAATTGTCGTTCATATGTAAATATCAAAACATTGTTTTATCTTATTTTGTTTTTTGTTGTTTGAGATTTTTTTGATAGATGGTATTGGCCTTTTTTTTTGTATTAAGCTTTAACAATTTCATTATATAGATTTACATATCTTTAGACGATAGAAAAATCCAATATAAATGGGACTTATATTATTTTCTAATATTTGATCGTTGAATATATTTGTTTAACTTTGATTTTTAAATAATATGTGTATCACACCTGTTCAAAATTCTAATACATTACAAAAACGAATATAAACGATAATATTAGTGCTCGAACATTGTCCTTCGTGATTAAAACAACAACAAAAAATTGAAATATTTCAGGATGTTTATTCATGCGAGAATTACAATACCACAGTTTGCAATAGGGAATCAAAGCGGCTCTCCTAAATCTTGTATTTTCACTGGATCTTTGGATTCTATAACATAAAACATTGTCAGAAGTCAAGTAGCATAAAAATGAAAAGAAACAAAAAGACAACGAGAAAAAAATACGAATACGCCAAAATCAGTTGATCATAATTCAGATAAGTTTTAAATGTTGTTTTATTATTTTTTTAATAATGTTGTAAGAAGATGCAAACATAAGAAGATGGGAGAACATCCCATTGTTTTGATGAATTAGAGAAAATTGAATCTACAGACAATTCGAGAGTACATGATGGAACAATGACGCTTTTATTGTAGCCCAATTGTTATGATTGGCAAGTAGATAGAGATGAAATTGAGTGATGATAATGGATTCAGAGCATTATATATTTTGTGAAAATAAGACAGACAAAAATATTCGAGGCACGAACTTAATGAAAATAACCTTAGTCTATTATGAAGATTAAAGGAAGACTTGAATAAAATCTTGAGTGATAATCCTACACAAGAGAAATTGATTTTAGCAAAACACCTTCCAGTGTGAAATGGAATAGCAAACAACACATCGGTGCGCAATAACTGGACGAATGCACGGTTTGTATAGGAGTAGATGTAACAAAATAGGCGCAACCCTAAACACTCTTAAAATGGTACCGGATATTTGTCTACATTTGGTATGATAAGAAAGATATTTGGAATTGTTGAAAAAAGGAATTTACTAATACTTTGATACATTGAAACTGATAAAATTTGATACGCGTCCGATAGACAAATCATCAATACAATTTTGGGTTGATGAAATGTTGATGATACAAAACACATCATCGACGAACAATGAAATGAGAAGAACGGACTCGATTGCATGAAGTATTTCGTTTATGAGAATTAAAACTAAAATTGGATTTAGTACACTTCATTGCGGTAAATGCTAATGATTAATTTCCTTTGATTAACAGAACCATACATAACAGTTGGTTTGTGATCAGAGAGATAGCAGTAGTAACAGAAATGTGTAGGAGGGAAGATGGGATGGCATAATACGCACCAAAAAGACCAAGACAAAAGGATGTTTGCCTTAAACTTACACTCTTCTTGTATCTAAGAAAATACGTTGGAGTTTCACGAAAACTTGCTAAACCTGCTAACTTTGCTAAAAAATCTTAATTGCCTGAAAATGAGAAAAACATGAAATGACAGACTAACTTTTATAATTTTATTAGCAACCTTTAAACTTCCTCCAGGAGAGATACGATAAAATCTATTTTTAATGAAAAAATCATGCATAGACTGTCACAATGTGGCAATCATGCACGAATCCAGTGTCCGAATAAGGTTGCACATTCTCTGATTTTGGGAAAAACATAAATTCCTTTACTTAAGGAGCAACCAAAATTTATTATGAAGACAGCGACATCTGGATACACAACTGTTTGCCTGTTCTCTAATGCTATGGATTATTAGCGTCAAAAATAGTGATTTTGATTTACAATAATTTCGAAATTTTAACTTCCTAAAGTGCTTTACAAAGCAATAAGGTACTCACTAAGCATCGTTAGTTTATCTAACGGTAATGGTTGTTTTAAACGACTAACTACATTATGTCCACGATTCTTTTAGACAGAATCGTAGCATATATTGAGACTAATGATGCACCAACTAACCGTTTTTCAATTATAGCTTGTTCAATACTCTATTCTATCACACAATTGGAGCGCGAATAAATGACATATCAGTTTTCAATTATGTTTTAGCGCTTTTCAATTTTCTCAAAATGTCTGTTTACGACAATAAAGCGAACTACCATCCAGTAAGTGCGCTGCCAGGATCATTACCACACGGTATGTAGTTATCACATACCTCTTTCTCTGTTGTTAAAAGCTGTTTTCTCCTTCTATTAAAGGTTCTTATCTGCTCCCAGGCAATGGCTATTACAGGTATTATAACTGGTCGATAATCCCAAAAAAATCTGTGGACTGCTTTAAAAAACTTCCAGGCAGTCTTACAACGAAATCTTTCTGAAGTTTAAAATGATACTCTCAGCATTCTTGTGGGATTTTTTTGGTGAAAAACACGAAAGCGAGCAGTCGAACCTAAACTTAAGCGTATTTCTTTTAAATTTCTTTTAACGTTAAAGGATGAAAAATTAGTATCAAACTCCTTAAGAAGCATGCAGAATTCTTATTACTTCCAATAAACCAGAAATCTCAAGAAACTAGCATAGAAACGATCCCTGAGTTATTATCATAGCCTAGCTGTTTCTGATGTTGTTTATCACTTTTAATGTATTCTAGTGTCGAAGGCCGGTTACCCCATTTACGATTCGATTCCAATCGAATACTGAACGATCCAAAATATACATATTCCCAAAGTTATAGAATCGATGCAATGCAAGCTTTGAAAAACGTTAAAAAAGGTAACTGTTACCTGTTTTAGATAGAAAACGGTTTATCGCTAAAGCAACATATATACAAAATATCCTTTTTTCTCTTTAAGGTACAAGTCTCCCACGGTATTATGCTTATTATCCACATTTTGAAGCAGCAAGAGAACGATATATTTTTGTTCCAAAGCATTTTCCGAATGAAAATCCATCGTGTTACGAACATAGTGGTCTTGAACATTTCAAAAATGTATGTGATAAAAACTGAGATTCGTGTGATAGCCCGTTATCTATGCTAAAGCCTTCTAAAAGAACTTCAATTTAATGATATCAAGCTAAGATTTGACAATTCTGTCTGTCGATCTCTAACATAAGCAATATACACTTTTCAGAGTCGAAGCTTGATAGTTCGTGTTACGTTGAAAAACTACTCGTACTAACGTTCTTTTTTCGGTATGAAGAACTGAATTCGAAGTAAGTGGCACTTCTTTAACCTATACCTTACAGTCCTATAATGGACCTTCGTTAAGATTAACAATCTGTCACTTTCACAAGTCTCGACTTGAGGTTTTGACACTATAATTATGAAAAATTGAAACTATGGAGGATAAGAATCTATCATTTCAATATCTTCTGACTCCCTTAGATCAGAGTTTACTCTACTGTCGGCCCCGTTCTAGCGTCTAACAAGGGCTCTAAAATTTTGGTTTACAGTTTGAAACCTACCTAAATTATGTATTTTGATCAGGCACATGGAACCTACATGAGTAGCAATTTCTCATGCAACTAGTTCGGACCATTTACTAAACTTTTTCTGGCAAACATATAATAAAAATATCACTAAAATTTACAATCATTTTGTAGAGAGAATCTCTTAAATCGAACTGTATTAGTTATTTTAGTGAAACACTTTTAGTTTTCCAGTTACAATCGTTCTATTCAGTGTTGTCTTCTTTTAGCCGAAAATAAGGGTCCAGGGAATACATATTGGATCTTGCTTTCCCATCAGTGAATGTCTAATAAAAGGAAAAGAGTGAAAAGGATGTCCGTATGGAAACTATTTGCTTTTTCCTCGCAACGATTCAAGCCGGGAGGCCGCGATATTCGGATCGAGCATGTCGAGAAACGGTGTTTACCTAAGTTTGGTGTTGAAGATAGACAAAAAGTTTTTCCGTTGTTCCGTTCTGTATATATATGTTCGTGTTCACTGAGAAAAAGAGGGAAAAACAGATTTATTTTTCTTCTCTCTTCCCATAATGATATTCCATGTTGCTTCTTTCATCGTCTGGTGTCATCAATGTAAGAACGTTTGGTCAATTTTTATATTTTGTGATTTGAATGAGAAGAGGTGTTTCTCAATCACATACTGATAACCTATTAGTACATATAGAATTTTGAGCTCTATCCGAATTTGAATCTTTTACATTTCGGAAACATGTATTGTCAGAAATATAGGCGTTTCAAGAAAAATTTAAGTCAGACAAAAACTCGTTTTTCGACGTAATTATAAAATCCTAAGTTCTAATTTTGGTCTCATTAGACAGAGCATGTAAAATTACATATGCACAACTATTTTTGAACATTTCGTCCATTCTGAACGCTTCAAACACTAAATAGAAATGTAAACTCATACTTTTGTTCTATCAGTTTCCCCACGTTGAATTGTCTGTGCACGATAAATTTCAGCTTTTCAATATGTTTCCATCAAAAGTTATTCGATTTTTTTAATATAAGATGTACGAATCTAAGCATGTACTGTCCCACACGGACGAACCAGCCTTATACATGGGATACCTCTTAAAAATTTAAATCAAACAATTCTTCGAAAAAAAGTTTATCGATCTAGAGTAGTTTTAGTGACTTCAGATGCTAGAAACACCTTTTTATCATTTAATTTCGTTCAATCCTATCTGAAAACAAGTTCACGATCCTTAATTTTTTTATTTTCTATCGTCCATATTGTTTCTCTGCAGTTTTTTCTTATTTTCAGCAAATTTTTTACCAATCCTTCTTTCAGCTGTGATTATCGCCTAAAAGACAACGTCTATTCCGTTCAGTCATATTCCATTTCGACAACTCAAAAAGTAAACTCTGACCTAAGAGAGTCTGAAGATATTGAAATGATAGATTCTTGTCCGCCATAGTTTCGACTTTTCATAATTATAGTGTCGAAGTCTCAAGTCGAGACTTGTAAGAATGACAGATTGTTAATCTTAATTGGTAGGACCCTTTTTAAACTGTTTTGTGTTATTAGTATTTTATATTATATTTCATTCTTGTTGTTTTCTTT